TTTCAGTTTTCTGTCAGGACGTTTTCAGAAAGACAGGACTTTTTCAATGAAATATTAAACACGCACGTTCCCATCCATAAGAGCAACTCTTTCCAAAGAAGTCGTGTCATGTGAAAATCAGGAGTTTTGAAACAACACCCGGAGCACTTTGCACTGAGTCGGATCAGCTCCTGACAAAGGCTCGGTTGGGACAAGAGGGGAAGAGTGTGGCGCATAGACCCAGGAAAACTAATCCGCGATGCTGCCCTTTTATTTTCCGGGATGCACAGAAAGAGGCTCTCAGCTGTGACAAGCAACTCCAAGTACCAGAAGGATGCTTCAGCCTAGGCGAAGCCTCCGTACTTCAGTTGATACACTTAGAGTGAGTCAGTCAAGAGGGATTCACTGCTCGAAACAAACGAAAAGAGAAAAAGTCTTTACAAAACTTTCTTAAGTCTCATTAAAGACACTGTTAAGAAATTAGGCGCAGGGGAGGGTAGAGCTCAGTGGGAGAGCGCATGCTTAGCATGCACGAGGTCCTGGGCTCAAACCTCAGTACCTCCATTTGAAAAATAAATACATAAACAAACAAATAGATAAACAAACCTAATTACACCAACCCCCCACCCCAAAAAAAGCCCCAAACAAAAAAATATAATAAAAAGAAATTAGTCAAACCACAGGTGGGGGGAAATATTCATAGTGCATATACCTGGAAAGGTGATTATACATAGAATATGCAAAGAATTACAACCCAAAAAGGTAAAGATAAATCAATGGGTAAAATATTTGTACAAGCTCTTTACTGACGAACACATATGAGTGGCCAAAAAGTACATAACAAAGTGTTCAACAGCATGAGTCATCGGAGAGCTGCAAGTTAAAACACAGATGTACCACTTCACACCCACTGGAATGCGTGAATGACAGCAAGCGCCTGCACCCCGTGTTAACAAGGACGTGGCCCTCCTATGCTGCAGGTTGGGATGGGAAATGTACAACCACTCTGGGAAAAGGGCCAGATTCTTAAAAAGTTAACCATGTATCTACCCTATGATCTAACAATTCCTCTCCAAAGTATTCAGCCGAGAGAAATGAAGACATTTGTCCACAATAAGCCTTGCTTGTACAAGAATGTCGGTAGTAGCTTTAAACATAAGAGCTAAACACTGGATGTCCATCCAG